CTAACTACATAGAGCTTTTCCCCTTGAAACTGATAAATAATAACTTAAAAGACCGGCTTGGTTTAATCTCATTCATATCTTTGCAGAAGATTTTAAATAAAATTGGGGCTGAATCCATAATCACCTTGAAAACCAATCAGTTATGTAAAAAACCACGGTCCACCCTAGAACCCTGGGATGGCATGGCCAAGAAGGAGGAGTCCAGCTTTCTAGTGCAAACTTTTATTCTCAGGTGGGAGCTTGGGATGTATTTAGATTCCCAGTACTACCTTAAGCCTGGTTAGCATTTGCTTGGTCAAATGGTAAATACCTACCTGCTATAAGCCTGGAGCCCTTTCCAAGATGCCACTGCCCCTTGAGAAGTTCTGAGTGCAGCAGTGGCTGCAGTGGACCTGCCACCCAATGTGCCCATCTCTACCATGACTCGAAACAGACAAAGAAATGTGAACCATGAGTAACTGCTCCTTCCACAGCAGCCTTCCATGCTGGTGTGCGAGAAGGAAGGCTGGATCTGAGGACAGATTCCTTGCCAACTGTGTGCCCTTCTCTTAGAAACAGTAGTTCCCTCTGTAGATTCTCTGTATGCTGGCCTGGGCTCAGCGCAGGCTCTCAAATCCTGTCATAGGCTGGAATCTGTCACCCATTGGTTTATGTCCATGAATTATCAAAGGATTGTCTTCTGTGATAATCTCAAGGTAACTAAGAAAATGACCCTTAGTTCCCAAAGGGAGAAATGAATGCAGACAGTTTCTTTTTCTGGAGTGTCTCCTGTTGGTCAGGAGTCAAGGTAAACTTTTCCCACCATTCTCAGGACCATCTTAAGGAGTGCAAGCTTGTGATCTAATCAAGAGGGTCAAGCAAAGCCCCACTGAGACCCAACTGGAGACACAAGACAGGATGAAGCACAGAGGAAGGGCAGGGCAGAACTGTTCCCTGAGGCAGGAGAGGGCAGTGCAGCTGGGATGAGCAGGGAGGCCTGCATGGTGGTGCCCTGCAGAGATGGCATCAGGGTGGAAAGGGATAGAGAAGCGGATGTTCAGAGTGGCTTCCGGAGAGAGCCGGAGACAGATCAGTGATGGTGAGTGATGATACATGAATGAACAAGGCGAGGCAGGATTGTGGGCCTTTGCAGATATATGAAGAGGCCAAACCTTATTCTGGGCACTGAAGGAGCCCACACTTGTTCCTCTTTAGGGGTCCTACAGTCCTAGCTCCAAGCTCTGGGCTCCAAAGCACCAGCTGTCACAGCAAAGGGTCCTTTGGGCTATGCTATGAATGGATGGGTAGCCTCAAGGACCCCTGGAACTGAACGTGTCCCTCATTTGATCAGCCACCTTAACCTGCAGGCAATGGCTGGCTGCTGAGGCCTGAGAAAGCCACCTCCTAAACTGCCTCCTCCTCGTTATGAACGGGCTGCATTCCCACGTTCTCAGATGGAACATGTCACCCACACCGACAGCCCTCCCAGGGAGAAGCCACCCACTCAGGAAGGACACGAGGTTTCCTGGCGGCCCTGGCCACCCAGGATCAGGGACACAGTGGAGTAAGCAACTCAGCACCTTGAGCCCTGGTCGTCCACAGGCAGCCTTCATCCTCTGTACAAGCACCGGCTTGTGATTGTTTAACAACCCAGGAAAATCGAAGGGAGAGGACAGTGATTTAAACACAAGGAAAATGAGGTGTGGTCCCTTACAGGGCCCACCCCAGTCCACAGTCACACTAAGGCCAGGTGTTGGAACCTTAGCATAATCATCTTCCCCTGATCATGCAGCAAGTGCCAGAGCTGAACCCAGACACCTGGATGTCATTCCTGGCTTTGGCCCCCCGTTAGCGAGTTAATTAGGGCTCTTGGGAATCCTGCTTCCTTGTGTTGTCAGATGGAAATAAAAATAACACACACCTGACAGCCATCATCGGGTGAGAATAGAAATTCTCCACCTGGGCTCTGCTTGCAGGTGGGAACAGATCTTTCTGTGGTGTGGGGGCCACGTCAGGCATTACAAGATGCTGAGTGGCATCCCGGGCCTCTACCCACCCCTTATACCCCTCCACCCAGCAATGACACCCAGAAACTGCCTCAGCACTGCCAAGTGTCTCAAAAGCCAGTTGGGAACCACTGGATTAGAAGGACTAGCATTTCTAACGGCCTGCAGCACTGGTGCTAAAATAACTTCAGCCTTTTTACACCGGAGGACCCTCTAGGCTTCTCTACCAAAGCAGCTGGGCCTCTCCATCTTACAATTTCCCCCTTTTCCCCCAAGCTGATCAAATCCACTGTTGTTGGGTCTCAAAGCCCAAAGGTCATCAATTTTAGAAGCATGGAGTTAATCTTTTCTTGACATACTTGCTTTTGTAACTTTACATAGTGGCACAGGCCTGCAATCCTAACTACTCAGAAGACTTGAGTCAGAAGGATTATGAATCCAAAGCCAACCCAGACCACAGAGTGTGACTCCGTCTCAAAGTAAAAAGTAAAAAGTGCCAGGGATGTAGCTCAGAGACAGAGGACCCCTTCCCTGGTACAAATAAATAAATAACCTCACACTGAAGCAGGACTTTTTTTGTAAATAACCTGTGCACGTCGATGGAGAAACTAAAGTGGTTCTTAGTAAGACAGCTCAACAAAGGACTCCAAACACACTGCTCACCTACTGTGGGACAGGGAAGCAATGTGAGCAGAGTAGTATTTGGTCCCTTCTCTCAGTAAGGTAATGTTTTGCAATGAAGACCAATCTTTCCTGAATCATACTTTCTGAGTATCACTCATACCTCTGGCACTACCTTGAGCTGATGTCTGTGTCTTTGCAAAATTCATATGCTGAAACTTTCAGCCGCAAGGTGACAGTCCTAAGAGATAGGGAATTAAGAGATCTGGGAACTTAGTCAGGAAAAGGGGGCTAGTGGTGAATGGGATTAGTGCCCTTATAAAGTGACCCCCGGCAGCGCTCTACCGTATGAAGACAGTGAAAAGACAGCTCCTCCAAACTGGGAAGAGACTCCTCACCAGATGCCTTGATTTTAAGAAACAGATTTCTGGTGTCTGAGGTCCCCAGGCTAAAGCATTTTCTTTCAACACCCTGAATGGATGAAGACTTTTCAGGTGTCCTTGTGACAGTGACAGTGACAGTCTTTAAAGCCTGTGTGGCGATCCCTGACACTACCATGAGGCCAAGGACATATCAGACGACCTGGAAGTTCAACTACTTCCTTAAGATGGTCAAATGTTTGGGAGATTATCCAAAATGCTTCCTTGTGGGAGGAGACAATGTAGGCTCCACGCAGAGAGAGCAGATCCATGTGTCCACTGAGGGAAGGCTCAGGTACTGATGGGCAAGAGTACCAGAGCCATGCAGGGGCATCTGGAGAACAGCCCAGCTCTGGAGATGGGCTTTGTTTTCACCAAGGAGGACCTCACTGAGGTCAGGAATATGCTGCTGGCCAGTAATGTGCCAGTTGCTGCCTGTGCTGGTGCCACTGCACCCTATGAAGTCATTGTGCCAGCCCAGAACACTACTCTAGGGTCTGAGAAGACCTCCTTCTTCCGGTTCTGGGCATCACCACTAATATCACCAGGGGTACCATTGAAATCCTGAGGGTGTGCAGCTGATTAAGACTGGAGACAAAATGGGAACTGGTGAGCCTCGACACCTGAGATGTTCATCTCCCCATCGTCCTTTGGAAAGATCGCTCAGCAAGCGTTTGACAGTGGCAGAGTCTACAAACCCAAAGCACTTGACTCTGCAGAGGAAACTGCATTCACACTTCCTAGGGTGTCTGCATGGTTACCGATGTATGTCTACAGATCCATTACCAGCAGTGCCCCATTCTACCATCAGTAGGTACAAGCAGGTCCCAGCTTTGTCTGATTCCTCCTTCCCACTGGCTGAAATGGTCAAGGCCTTCTTGGCTGATCCATCAGCATTTGTGGCTGCTGCCCTTGTCACTGGTGTTGCAGCCACCCCGGCCAAGATAGATATCAAGGAAGAGGCAGAGGAGTCGGATGAGGATGTGGGATTTGGTCTCTGACTGATCACCAGGCAGCAAACTGTTAAGCCTGCCTGACTGGCAAGGAATAAAGGCATAATTCTCTTAAAAAAAAAAAAAAAGAATCATCAATCTGACTCAAAAATGGTCCACAACTCCTGAAACACTGTCATGTGGTAGACTGGGGAAGTATGTTCTAAATTTTTAAATTGACATGTATATGAAAGATACAGAGAGGTATTTCAACATATGCATACAAAAGTCATGATGGTATTTTTAATCAAAGAATCATTGGGTCTAGTACTTCAGCACAAATGAATCTGTGTCCTGCCAATTGACAGACTATAAAGATGTTTAGTACAAGTAAAAGTCCAAGAAGCTGATAATGACCAAGAGGGTCTCTGTGCTCTGCAGGACAGACAAGAGCCTAATCGCCAACGGCACTGCTGGAGTGGACTAGAGCTAGACCCTCACTGGCTCTGGGCCAAGCTGGAAGGATTGAGAAGACTGCTGTGAAGAATGAATGAGCTAAGCTTTCTAAGCTCACAGGACAGAACCCGGAAGTAAGCATGCATTAAATGTTGCTATGGCTTTGATTAGAACATGACCCTGCAGCTTTCCACGAGCTATCCGTAAGAGTCTTGTGGTTAAATAAAATGAAAGCCCCCCAACACACACATTTATTGCTGTATTTCTTAGAGCCTTTAAAATGCTGATATTCAACCAAATCTGAAGGAGGTGATCTGGTATCCAGACCCTTTCTTCCTAGGGCAATTTCCAAGACTTTGTTACATAAAACATGGAGTGAACCATGGCTGTCCAGATGGTTTTCTGAGCAGGACACACAGTGTAATGTAACTGTGATTGCTTATCAGACTGTGAAGAACTCTGACTGTTAGAGACACAAACATTAGTGACTACCAAAATATGCCAAGGATCTGACGACAATAAATATTCACAATGGTTCAGAATCTAGATATGCTGTCTCTACGGATATTGATTTTTGTATCACTTACCCGGGACCCCTTTTCAGGAAAGCACTGACAAACAGAGCAATCTCTTCCTCCACACGGACTGATATACTTCTTTCCACTCTGGAAAGTGAAGCAGCTCAGTTAGTATGGCAGTCTCATCACCGGGTCAAACACAAAACACCATGATAGCAAGCACTTTTGGTTTGGCTGCCTCGTAAGGATGGCACAACACTCTTGCTACCTCTGTGTCCAAGAGAAGCAAAGATTAATACTGATATATTAAAAAGGCAAAGCAACCACACCGGTGCTTAATAATAAGGAGGGTTGGTTATTTGAGCAATGAGCTTTCAACACAAAGACATTGGAAAGAAAGAAGAAAGAAGAAAAACTTCCTTCTTGCTTTGGCCAAGATCTTTTAGTTTTGCTTTCCCAGTAAGACTTAACGTACTGTGTTGTGAACAATCTTAGCATGTGAACTTATACAGTTAGACAAACCAATGTAAACATAGATTTTAGTTTAAATGATACCTTCAACTATTTTCCAAGACTGCCCTGCTTTGCCCTCCAGATCAGCTAAGGTGTATCTTCCTCACCAAGTCCTTCTAGGAGAATTCACTAGGCTCAGGCATGGGTTTCAATTTACATTTGTTCGTCCTGCACTTTGCTGATATTCCAGGATTGTTCCTCTACTGTATCTCTCAACTGAAAAGATTCTGAATTGTAATGATTTGCGTTTTCCACTTTTGGCTGGTTTTTCAACACTTATCTTTACAAAGTCAACACATATGCATTACACACACACACACACACACACACACACACACACACATACACACCAGCAGGTCCTTTGAGAAGAATCATTATTTTGTTCTCACAAATCCTTGTCATCTATATCCAGATTCACCACCCACTAAGACACAGAAATGTGATCCCAGAGTAAATATTTCTGTGAGCAGAACCCTGTGACAAACAGTTACCAGGGTGCCACTGTTTCCATTCAGAGGCGAGGCTGAGGGTGGGTGGGAGAGGTGCCTTAGGCCCCCAAGTGGAGATAAGAACAGCTGTATACACAGCCAGGTGTGGTGGCGCATACCTATAATCCCAGAACTCGGGGGCCTGAGGCAGGAGGATTGTTGCATGTTCAAGATTGTCTACAAAGTGAGCTCAAAACCAGACTGAATTGCATTATGAGACCCTGTCTCAAACACACACACACACACACACACACACACACACACACACGCACACACACACACATATATATGCAACAACAGCTGTAAGTTCTGGGAGCTGAGGAAATGGATAAGGACATCCATCAGAGTCACGCTGCCTAGTTTATGCTGCTGTCTTGTCCAGCCCCTACAGCAACGTGTACATAGTAAATGCACATTTCTATAATTGACAGATCTTTTAACACTCAAGACTGTAAATTTAGACTACTGTGTAAGGAAACATAAAACTGTTAAATCAATGTTTATAGTTCTGATGGAAGAAATACATACATACATATATACATAAAGAGACATATACTATATATGTATGTATATATATATATATATATATATATATATATACTGACAATTTTTTTCAATGACACAGTTTAGACTTCTTTTGGGAAGAAAATTTGCTTAGACAAAATCCAAAAGAAATATCTTTAAAAATTAATGAAAAAGACATTTTGTAAATAAACTTCTCATGGATCATTAAAAGGTATATAAGAATTTGAAGCTTCACAAGAGCCAAGCAATTAGGTAATGTAAGCTTTTAAAAATGTATTTGAAGTTTCAGAAACATATGCCTCTTAAGTTCTGAGTAACACTGTTATCTGTGAACATCTAAGTTCAAAATCCTGATAAAGTTTTTTAAAAAACTAAAAACTTGGGGTCAGGTCAGGACAGCATGAAGTCACTTAAAATAGCTTGTCTGAGGACTTGGGGTCATTTAAGGTTTGGATTCATTACTGTGTATTCACTGAAATATCAAAATACTAGAGAAAAAGAGAGTTGATTAGATGGCTTGATAATAAACGGCTCTGGGATTGACTTATTTATTTTTGCCAAACAACACTCAGGTACTTGTAGCAAAATTACATTTCAGGGAAGTATCAGTTTAAAACAGATTAGCAGATTCTAATAAAGTAACATCCCAATAAATATCTAAAAGGGGGTGACAAATTCTTAAGGAATCTGCACTTCAAAAATTGATTGTGTAAACCTGTTGGACAAAATAAAGACAGGTAAATATGCAAAATACGAGCCACTCCCATTAGGAATGTACTTAAGTCTCAAAGAACAATGTTACTCTTCTTTGAAGGGAACAATAGGAAAATTCACTCTCTGCTTAACCTCAGACATTTTTTAAATGAGTATCTGTGGCATTGAAAGTCCATGAAAACATCAGTAATTTTTCGAAGATTCATCATCTGTCTTTCCTTTGCACCATTAGTTTCTTCTTGGTAAAGCAAATAATATAGGCACAAGGTAGAAAATTCAACAGCACAAAAGAGTGTAACAGGAAAAGAAATTTTCAAGTTCCCTACCCCAAAGGATTGCTGTCTTTAAGTTGGTATCTGGGAATTAGTCAGTATATTCACACATGATTGTACACATGTATGTGGAAATACATGTGAACAAACAGATTCATGTGCTGTTATAGCTTGTGTCTAGGTGACCCCAAAGCCTCATGCAGTCAATGTGGGGCTTTGCAGAGGTGGCTGGATCTATAGTGTGTGACGCTGGGATCAAGGGCGTGTGATTTCTAAATCAGCCAGATTGCTTTGGCAGAGTTCTGGATGTGGATAACGGGAAGGCCCTCCCTGGTGTGAGTGCTATCTCCTCCAAGGGTACATAGCCTGGATCAAGTACAAGGGACAGAAAGGGGGCTGCTGCCTGCCTTGGACTTTGTCCTCTGGATGCTGCCATGTCACCCTGGTTTGTAGCCAGCCAATTGTGGACTAAAACAGCTATAAATCATGATCCAAATTAAAAATCTTAATATCAAAACAGAAACATTAAATCTGCTGGAAGTTAGAGTAGGTAAAATTCTTGAAGACATTGGTGTAGACAAAGACTTTATGAACAAAACCCAGATTGCACAGGAACTACTGCAAAGAATCAAAAAATTGGATCTTACCCTACCAAAAAGGTTTTGCAGAGCAAGATAAACCACCAATAGAGTGAAGGGGCTATGGGAGAAAATGTTTGCCTGATGTTCCTCAGACAAAGGATTACTATCAAGAACATATAAAGAACACCAAAAAATCAGTCTTCCTAGATTTAAAGACTCAAGCCAAAAATGGGCATCTGAGATAAATGCACACTTCTCAGAAGGAGAAATACAAACAGTAAATAAATACGTGAAAAAACGTTCAACATCGCTGGTGATTTGAGAAATGCAAATTAAAACAACACTGAGATTCCACCTCACCTTAGAAAGAATGGCCATTATTAAGAAATCAACCAATAACAAATGCTGGAAGGGATGTGGGGGGAAAGGAGCCCTTCTCCACTGTTGGTGAGAATGTAGACTGGTGCAGCCACTGTGGAAATCAGTGTGGAGATTCTTCAAAAAACTAGGATTGGAGGTTCAATTCAACCCAGCTATTTCCTTTCTGGGTACCTTCCCAAAAGAATTAAAAACATCATACCACAGTGATACATGTGCACCCATGTTTACAGCAACACAGTTCATAATAGCCAGATCTTGGAATCAACCTAAATGCCTACTGACTGAGGGATGGATTAAAAAAAATGTGGTATTTTTATGTAGAGGAGTACTACTCAGTCATAAGGAACGATAACTGGACACTTTTATAGGTAAATGGATGCACCTTGAGAATATACTCATTAGTGAAATAAGCAAGACACATGTAAACATCACGTTGTTTCATTAGTGTGACAAGCTGAAAGAAAAAACATATGTATATGTGTATGTTTATGTACATAAAAATAGTTAACATAGTTATAGTACTGATTTCTCTGAGTTCGCTAAAGAAAAAGATTTGCACTAGTATTGTTCAGACAGTGGAATGCAGATGTCTTGTGCTCTGGGTGAATGATACCCAGAGATGTCATACTGTCATGCAGATGACAGCGCACAATGTTTGTACCATTGTTACCCCCTGATTGACATATTTTAAAATTTTGTTGTAGTTTTTCTTCTTCTTCTTTCTTTTTATTTATAAATAACATGGATTTGAGGGAAAATCATGATCCAAAATAAACCTTACCTTCTTTAACTTTGGGTGTTGTGTATTTTGTCTCAGAAATGAGTAAATTAAAATATGCTCACACACACACATGTGCACACACATGCATGCATGCACACTGTCTCTCTTGCCCTCTTCTGGTGATTTGGGACCTGTTTTAATCTGACCCAAATGGTGCACTGCTTTGTGTTCTGCTGTTTTTGTGTAATCATTGTCTTCAGGGTCGTCCTAGTGTAACCCACATGCTCAGATGAACTCACCACTTGTTTAAACTCTTCCTATTGCCAGAACTACTCTGCCAATTATTCTTCTGCATCCACCTTGTGCATGTGGGATGAACTCTAAAAAGGTGTGATCCTGTGTCCGTCAGTATGTGCATTTAAAGTGCTGATGGACAGCGCCAAACTGTATTCCACAGACCCTGCAACACTATGTAACCATCTTTAAAATCCAGTTATCACAGGGACAGTCAATGTGTGAAATCCCTCCAATCTCTGTGCACCACATGCTGGTGGGAGAGCTCAAAATAGAACAGCTCTTGGTCCAGGAAATAAATATGTAATATACATACATGCATATATAATATACATATATACATATATATTATATATGTATATGTATATATACATATAATGAGCAAAAAAAGCTACATTTAGTACTCCAAAGAATTTTGTATCAGAACACAAAACAATATGATACTGAAAAATTAGAAAAATCAGTAAGACAAGTAGAAAAATGCAGACATACGTATCGCAGTGTATTTTCATTTTTAACAGTATTTTAGGCAATGCTGTTGAATGTGTATGAATTAAGTGGGCCAAGTGGTCTGGTTCCCACTTAATACTAGAGAAAATCAGTCTCAGGTTAAGAGACAAATCATTGGCAGCTGTCTCAAGATCAGCCTGAGTTATAGGGAGCTCAAGCCAGGATTTCCCCAAGATTTCTGAAGTTTCAGTAACTCAGATTCTTTAGTGAGGAGGCAAAAGAAAGAGCACTTATTACAAAATATGCTCAGTGTGTCTTTCTCCAGAAAGATAAATGTTCAAATTTAATCTTGTATTTCTTGGTTTGTCCTTAAAATGGCTCAGGTGCCTCTTGCCCGTCTCAAAAAAAGTCTTTAGAAAGGACATATTAGTTGTAAAATAAAGCCATCTTCAATATTTAGGTAATTTCATAAGCAATCCTAACTGAAAAATATTGAAGAAATGTCAGCGTTTATGTAGTCCAAACCTTGTCTTACAGATGAGAAAACTAAGCTTAAGCCTCATGGAGAACTTGTCTAAAAGTATCACAAAAACCATATATTCAATAAAGGTAATTCCCTATGTGTAATCAGAGCGAATTAATGTACGTACCCCATATACATGTTGTATAGAAAAGAGAAGGAGCACAAATGACCTGTGGAAAACAAGATTGCAAGTTAATTCACACCGTTCACTTTCATGTGAAACAAACTAAAGAGAATGAAGCAATCCATTCTAGAAAGCTTTTATTCTCCATTTCTAACAGGTACCACTACTAGCTGGTTCATCACCCGGGGCAGCGCAGATGCTAACCTCTCTCCCTCTCCCTTCCCCTCACCCTTTCTGTCTCCCTCTATCTCTGCCTCTCCCTCTGTCTCTCCCTCTCTCTGTCCCTGTCTCTCTATCTCTCCCTCTCTCTCTGTCCCTGTCTGTCTATCTCTGGCAGCTATTGTTACCTTTCCTCTTTGTTAGCAGTCAGAATAAGAGATATCGTATCAGTCACCTTGATTGTGACTTTCACTGTGCTGGGGTCTATAAGGGACATTCTGAGGGTCAGCACTGGATCCACAGGTGAAGGAAGGGACTCTAAAATGAAAACTAGTGAAAAGCAGAAAGGATGCCCTGTGTTCAGGGACACAGCTGAGACCAGAGTACCCTGGATGTCACTAAGTGGAACCGATTCCGAGGAGGCGAGGTGGAAGGATTGCTAGCTGGTTTGGAGGAAAAGGGAAATGACATGAGACCAGTAGGGAAGAGTTAGGTGGTCCAGGACATTGTGAATGACACAGAAATCCAACTGTGGTGACCTCATATTACCAGCCAATTTTCACATAGAAGAGATAAAATCAGTCAAGGCCAACGAACTATCATAATCATTTGTTAGCTCTTACAGTTGACAAAGACAACCAACTTCCATCATCTCATTTGAAGCCCCAGTTGAGATTTTAATATAGTAACTAAATAGGGAAAACTGTGAAGGAGGTATTGAATCCAGGGAAGAAACTGCTTTAAACCAAGTTGAACTTGTATTTCCAAGGGCTGCTCATTAAATGTGTTCTTATCCCTCGGGACATTTGTCAATGATACACGTTGCATCTTATGGCCTCCATTTAATCTCAATTAAAGCCATGAGCATGGCATATTTTTTCAGCCTTTCACAGAAGAGGTAACTAACTGACTCAGAAAGTTAGAGGCTGTAGGCAGAGCTGACCTGAGGGTATGGGTCAGGTCAGGTCCGAATCCTGTTACAACCCTTTCACCCTGTGCTCTGCTGTCCTTCTCACCAAGGTAGCTATCAAAAAATAAGATCATTTTCCCCTTGCCACGTATCATAAAATATTTCCGGGTTCCAGATATTAAGATGTGGACATGGGTGGGAACAATGGCTTGGTTCTGCCTGCTACATTCATGAGGTGCTGTGTTCTGATTCTTCTGGTTATAGGGACCCGGGAGCTGTGGGTGTATCAGGTGTTCACTGTTCAAACCTATAACTGGGGGAGCAAGAGCCTGGGGACCTCAGCCATGAAACTTCCCACTTGGTGACCATGGGGTGTATTTTAGGATAACTGTGCTGGGGTTTCATAGGAGATATGCATGCAGGCCTAATCCCTAGCTTTCTGAAACAATTTGACTTTTTGACACATGAAGCATTTAGTTTATAGCTATCAAATCAACATTTAGGAGAGACATTATGAAAGCAAGCGATCACAATGAGGATACTCACCATGGATCTTTGCCCAAGGGTTTGGTCCGCCTGGAAGAGCACCCCATTAACACCATGAGCAGGGGCTTCACGGGCAAGTGCAGGTGCTTAAACAGTGCAGCCAGTCTGCTCCTCTCTTCTGGAAGGCTCTTGTTGACAAGCAAGGCTGCGAGTCTTGAGTTAAACTCTGCACGTGAAGCATAAATGTGTCTCTTAAGGCATGGTACACATTCTAAAAATAGTAACTTTCAGTACTCATAGTACTGCAAAGTTTTTCTAAAGAGGAACTCCAATGGTTTTGATGTAACAATCTTTTCTTGAACTCCAATGGTTTTGATGTAACAATCTTTTCTTAGCAATGGTTAAAATGAATAAATACCAGTTTTTATCCTTGGAAATAGTAGTCGTCTCAAATCCTTTATATGGCATAAATATCTTTCAGAGAAATGGAAAATGGCTTCATTTTGCCACCAAGTAAAATTCTCTTCTATTTAATCTTTTCTCTTGAAAAACCACCATTAAAGTTATGCAAGTGCTTTTTTTCACTTTTTGAGAGTAGGGGAGGAAAATTCTAGTAGATAATTATGTATTTTGTACATATTACATCTAATACATGCAAAAATATTTTTATATGAAGTGGTATAATCCCTGTGGGTAAAACATTCTGACAGATTCTCAAGAAGTTTAACACAGAGTTGCCATAGGATCCACCAATTCCATTGCTTTGTGTAAGCTCAGGAGAACTGAAAACATGTTCACATACTCTCTTGGATATAAATGTTCTTAACAGCCACAAAGCAGAAATAACCCAAATGTCCATCAGCTGATCAATGGATAAGCAAAATGTGGTATATCTATACAATGGAATATTATACAATCAAAAAATTGTATACGCTACAACACAGAGGGACCTGGAAAAAAAAATCATGCTAAGAGAAAGAAGTCACAACATTACATGATTCCATATATGTGAAGTCTGCGGTAGGCAAATCCATAGAAACAGAAAAGAAACCAGTGGTTGTCAAGGAAAGAGGGAAACACTAGAAAATACACACTTTATTTTGAGGATAATGAAATATTCTGGAGTTGGGTAGCTGTTACGGTTGCACACGTTTTGATCTAAAAAGGCTACTGGGTCATAAGCTTTAAATGAGTTAAAGTGGTAGACTTTATTTTGTAGTTTTAGCTATTATTAAAAAAAGAAAAATATTTTTAAAAATTGGCTCAAAAATTATTTGCTTTAATCAAAGATCTCTTTGGCTGAAAGAACTGAGACATCTCATTTTTAAAACTTTGGCTTTTTATAAAACCTATCCTTATGGGAACTAGAAAGAAAAGGAAACCAGGAGTGTTAAATGTTAAAAGCTATTTTTAAATTTCTGGATCAAAACTGAGTAAATTAATTCAAAACTGTATTTGTTGAATTTCCAAGTAAGTAGTACAACTGCATTCCATGATACAATTTCGAAACCAAACCAAAAGAAATCATTTTAATTACCCAGACCCTTTCCACCTGTAAATCATAATTTTAAATTCTCTTTGCACAAAGTTATATTCTAGAAGCAAACCACAATAAAATGAATTATTGGTTTGCAAGGAAAACAAAAACTGATCTCAGTCATTCAACCTGCATCCACATTTAAATACTCAAATTAGATACAGTCCAAAATCAAAAATCAGAGATACTTGCATATTCATTAAAAACAGACAGATAATGCAATTAATCTTTATACATACTCCACACATATTGTAATAAATGCACACAAAGGGAGACTTTATTAAAATAAAATGGTGTTGTAGTGACCTTTGAGAGAAAGAATGCCTGATTACTATCTTAACAACTCATTACATTTTAGTAGGATGGATAGAAAGATAAACGGGTGATGGATGCATGCATGGATCCATAGATGTATGGATGCGTGGATGGATGCACAGACCTATCTGTAAACGCCCAACTGGTCTCCATTAGCCTCAGAGAACATTGGACGCAGCCAATGCACCTTAGCACTATGCACTCAGTTACCATATAAACTCTGATACTGAGGATTCTGTCCTTTTCTAATTCACAGATTTATTCCCATGGCCAGTGTAGTGTATGAAATATAGCAATTGTTCAATATATATTTGAAGGGTAAATTAACTTCTAGAACATACTTTGGGACCTTAGGAATGGGAAGCAAGTGTATTAATAGAGAGACTACGAAAGCCTATAAATGAGGCAAACTTTGGGAGGGAGTGAAAAAAGGGATCACAGTGGCTCTGGGGAAGTGGAGAGAAGCCAACACTTACTGATCATTAGGAGGACACCTTCTAGAGTGTTGCCCACATCAAATGACTTAACTCGCACCACAGTTTGGTAAGCAAAGTGTTATTTCCTGGGTACAGGAAAAACAAAGTGGATCAGCATATGGAGAGAGTACAAAGCCACAGAACTACTGAAACTGAACCAGGACCTTCCCTCTGGGACGTATTCTGTTCCCAGTCACACTGCAGCTCGGCAGCCTTCACAGTTTTCTGGTGTGTGTGTGTGTGTGTGTGTGTGTGTGTGTGTGTATGTTTAAACATTTTATTGGTACATTTTAGATATACATAATGACAACACTCCTCAGAAGGAATCTGTACCTATACATGATATATCTTGCTTATCCTATAAGAATTTTGAAACTATGCCCTCACTCCCTGCCCCCCAACTTTATTTTTAAACATTTTAAAACTTCATCTTCTCTACAAATGAAGCCGATGATTTCTGAAGTATTGTAAATGTTGACCTTTAAAATATAACCACTACCGTATTATCTTAGATTCAGCCAAAGGATCATAATGCCCTAAAATATGATTTTCACCACTAGCAGTTTCTAATGCTGCAAATAAGCTCTTCACAACAAATTTCACACTGATTTTTCATTTAGAACTCACATTTCCATTTTCCTTTCCTATATAACTTCTTAGACTTCAAATTTTTACATTATAAATGCTGTATTACTCCATCATACTTCTAAACATCAAAAATGTCTGTAATAAAAATATTTTTCATTTCCCATATTCATAAGTCTTGGTGTCTAACTTTTTTTTCTTACAGGATTGGCTTTTAAACATAGTTCTTCATAGTATGTAAGTCATCAAAACCATGTCAAAATTAAATCTTGATAAATAATTATTAAACATTAAAAAGAGAACTTTATTAGAAATGTAGGCTTTTGTTTCTAATTAATTAGCTTAGATTGATTATCCTTTCTGGAAAGAGATGGTTTCAGCAACAATTCCCTATTTTTATCTTTTCAAAGCTGTGTATTCTAAAACATCTTGTTCAACACAAATAAGTAGTTTTGAATGGATGTCATTCAGTTACCGAACTCCTCTTGAGTTGTATACTACGGCTCGAATGTCTGTATTCCCCAAGATACATACGCTGAAACCTACTCCCTAGTAAACTGGCATTAAAAGAGCCACAATGTAACGGTGATAATTGGTCCCCAGAGTTGAAGCCTTATATTATGGGATTAGTGTCCTTCTAAAAGGGGCCTGAGGGAATTTGTGTGCCCTTCCTTCTGTCCTGGGGGAATGCAGCAAAAAAGGAACCATCTACAACTCAGAGAGAGTCCTTACCACACCCCAGCTCTGCCAGGGCCTTGATTTTGGACATCCCAGGCTCCAGAAATGTGAGGAATAATTTCCTGTTATTTATACATTACCCCAGGAATTTTATTATAGCAGCCCAAATGAACTAACCTACAATCAATATAGTTACTTATTATTGAGGATTATTTTTTAATGACCCACCAGCTGGTAAATCATCCCTCAACTCTGATGAAAGCGAAAAGTCAGAAACACTGTCCTCAGGGACATGGAGCCCATAACTACCTGCCTTCTGTTTTCGGCACGAACAAGTGGCCGGCCCTTTTTCGTGTTCACACAGCCAGCGCTTACACTCTGGAATAAAGAAGAGTGGCAGCATTTGAGGGAAGAGAGGGACAGGGGAGTAACCCTTTCTTTTGAAAAGCAAGATGAAGAAAATTATGATAGAGAAGATGAGAACTTTGTCCAAAAACAGAACAGTTCTGTGAAATGGTAGCCTAATATCTGAAAACTGACCACCTTAATTACATAACTTCTGGAGACTTTTTTTTCCCAAGAACCCATGTACCTAAATTCAAAGACCTCTGCTTACACGAACTATCAAAGTTTAAAAGCTCTCTTTTCAACTGTTTCTCCAGGAGCAGACTTTAGATGACCGTATGTGCAGCCTACATGTCCGCCTAGCCCATGAGCAAGTCACCAAAAGTCACAGAAACTTTTTGACTGTCCTCCTGCCTGCACTGCAGCTACCAGGTCACAGGTGAATAGAGCCCTGTCTAGCTGTCAGCCGGACACTAATAGCAATATGTCCTGAGCATTGTAATTCACAAAACAGGGTCATGTATGTTATCTACAACCACCTATGGAGGTTTGCTTCAACCAAAGTTTTGACTGCACCCAACAAAACTATCCTATTATTCATAAAAGTATCACTCTAACAAAGTAATGGTTATCAATGGGACTACATAAGATGATATATTCACCAAAAGCCTCATGTATTCATCGAGTGGGCTGAAATAAACCTTTCACACTTCACTTTGGGTGTTGGGCATTTTGTTTCAGTAACCAGAAAACTAACTAAGACAATCTATACAGCACTAATTTCTAGCCATGCGTATTCAGTAGCATCATCTCATTGCCTTCCTTTAACTCCCCAGTATTATTTTTCCCTTTCATTCCTTCGTGAAAATTCCTAGATCCCAGTTCCCCTGGGATGCTTATGAGCCTCTTCCCAATGTTTTCAAACTTCTAGACTTGGGAACAAGATCTGAGATCTTCCAAATAATTATCTCCATCATAAGAACTTTGTTTTCTCTGCAACATGATCTTGAAATGAAATACATCCTGCTACGGTTCTCATCATTAGAGAAGCAGCGAAGTAATAGCTAAAACTGAGGAGCCAGATAAAGAGGAGACTGGGGACTGAACTCTCATAGGCTCAAAAAGCTACAGATGCTTAGTGTTTTCTCTTTACTTGAATAAGACTGACATTCTGAGTTGCGTATTGATCATTTTTTGTTCTTTCAGTGAAATAATTTCCAGTTAACTCAAAGACAGTATACTTCTTTTTTGACTACCTGACAATAAACTATCTAAAGACTTTCTTTCCAA